CAGGTGGTGCAGTGTATAGAGCACTGGCCCTGGATTCAGGAGGACCTGAGTTCAAATCCGACCTCAGACACATAATACTTGCTAGCTGTATGACCCTGGGCAAGTCACTTAACCCCATTGCCTAGGCCCCCCCAAAAAAAAATTATCAAGGAAAACTGCCCTGGTATTTTAGAACCAGAGGGCAAAATAGAAATAGAAATAATCCACCCATCACCTCCTGAAAGAGATCCCCAAAGGAAAACTCCTAGGAATATTGTAGCCAAATTCCAGAGTTCCCAGATCAAGGAGGAAATATTGCAAGCAGCCAGAAAGAAACAATTCAAGTATTGTGGAAACACAATCGGGATAACACAAGATTTAGCAGCATCTACATTAAGGGACCAGAGGGCATGAAATATAATATTCTGGAGGTCAAAAGAGATAGGATTACAATCAAGAATCACCTTCCCAGCAAAACTGAGTATAATCCTTCAGGGGGAAAAACGGACATTCAGTGAAATAGAGGACTTTTAAGCATTCTTGATGAAGAGACCAGAGCTGAATAGAAAATTTTACTTTCAAATACAAGACTCAAGAGAAACATGAAGAGGTAAACAGGAAAGACTTATTAATAAGGGACTTATTAAGGTTGAACTGTTTACATTCCTGCATGGAAAGATGATATTTGTAACTCATGAGGCCTTTGTCAGTATTAGGGTAGTTGGAGGGAAAAAATTATATGTGATAGATAGATAGATAGATAGATAGATAGATAGATAGATAGATAGATAGATAGATAGATAGATGGCACAGGGTGAGTTGAAGATGAAGGAGTGATATCTGGAGAATAAAATTAAGGGGTGAGAGAGGATTATACTGGGAAAAGGAGAAAGGGAGAGGTACAATGGGGTAAATTATCTCACATGAAACAGACAAGAAAAAGCTTTTACAGTGGAGGGGAAATGGGGGAAGGTGAGAGGGAATGAGTGAATCTTATTCTCATCGGATTTGGCTTAAGGAGGGAATAACATACACACTCAATTGGGTATGGAAATCTATCTTACCCTACAGGAAAGTGGGGGGGGAAGGGGACAAGAGAGTAGGGGGATAATACAGGGGAGGGAAGATTGGGGGAGGGTTAATCAGGAGCAAATACTTCTGAGGAGCGACAGGGTCAAAAGAGAGAAGAGAATAAATGGGGGGCAGGATAGGATGAAGGGAAATATACGTAGTTTTTCACAGCATGAAAAAAAGTTTTTGTTGTATATTCTGTAAGAATTAAGAGAAGTAATATAGGAAGACCTCATATCCCTAGTATTGTTAGCAAGGGTTCATTTAAATTTCTTTACTTTATAAATGTGGTTAAATATACATAACATTTTTATGAAATAAATTAAAAAAATAAAATTAAAAAATATGACTAGATTTGTTGATTAGGAAGCCGTTGACAACCTTTGAGAAAGGAGTTCCTGTAGCATTGTGGAAGAGAAGCCAGATTGCAAGGGTTTGAGGAGAGAGTAGTTGCTGGATGAGGTGGAGTGATTGGATGTAAACAATTCATTTGAGAAATGTGGCCACAAAAGTGAGAAGAAAAATAGGAAAGGCAACTCTCTGGTGAATAATAATCAACTAAAGAAAATTGGTAGGACATGAGCATATTTGGAGGCAGATGGAAAAGATTCAGTGAAGAGTAAGAATTTGAAAGTGCTTCAGAGAGAGGGAATGACTATTAGAGCAATATTGTGGAGGAACTGAGGAAATAGAATCAAAGGTATAGGGAGAATGATTAGTCATTAATGAACTATAGAGATACCTCTTGTGCTGTGACTAGAGGAAAAGAGAGGTACTCAAAACTTTTGAATAATAGAGAAGAGGATCTGAGGCAACTTAAGTTGGACTACTTCAGTCTTCTCAGTGAGGTAGTAGGCTGAGTAATCAACTGTACTTGTGGAGGTTTGAGCTAGGTTTGGAACCAAGGGGTTTTAGAAGAAGGTTTGGAACAGTCACGGGGGAATGAAATGGAGTTCATTGAGCAGCAAGACAGGATCAACTGAAATTTGTAACAGATAAAACAAGCTTGGTTTTATGACTTTTTCCAGTGATGCTCAGAAGTTCTGAAGTAGCAGTGGAGAAGTTTGATGGTGGGAATTTTCCAGAGATGAAGATTTGCAGGCCAAGAATGATGGAAGTTCAGGAGGGCAAGAAATTCTAAGGTAGTAGCTAGTGAAACATTACAGTGGTAGACCATGAGGTCAGGGCTGAGTGTGGAGGCAAGTAAGGTGGTGTGTGTGAGGGTATATATGGCTTGGGTGATAAGGTTGAGCATGATAAAGTTGAAAAATAAACATATTGTGAATAGCAGGGTGGTAAAGGTAGAGCAGAAAATTTTGTTCAGATGGTAGATTCTTGGAGGTGCTGGAAATCTGTGATATGATGAGATCTAAAGTGTTGGGATGGTGTCATCAGTAACATCCATCATGGGAAATGAATAAATTGAGGACCCAGGAAGTTAGAGGTCAGTATGCTTCAGTGAAGTGGAAACAGAGGTCAGTGGAATTGAGGTATTTGAGGAATTGTGAAACCAGTTGACAACATGAACCTAAAAGCCCCTGAGAGTCATGGCTGGAGTTGAAATAACAAAGAAGATTGTGAGCAAGGTATTAAAGCTATTGAGAAAATAGGGAGAGTTTCCTGGAGGGTAGTGTTGAGAAGAAAGTCAGGAGAGTGACTTGAAGGTTAGATATATGAAACAGCAGAGATAGAGAAGCATTAGTATGAATGGCAGTCATGGACTTCAAAAGAAGAATGGTTATTGAGGAATAGTGGCAGAGGGATAGTTTAGAGGTAGTGGCAGTAAGAAGTAAAGAATGTGCCAATCTCTTCTCCTTGCCCTGTGTAATAAAAGAGTAGTGGCTTACATTGGGGAGAATTATAAAGTATATGGTATCTTCAGAAGAGAATTGAATTTCTGTTAGAGTAAGGAGGGGTCAGAATGCTGACTGAAAAGTTCAAGGATGATATTTAAGAGAGTTCCAAAGGGTACATTGGAATGAAGTAGGAAATGCAAATCACTCTATTGGGGTCCACTCCTTCTGCTCCCCTAAATCAAAGGGACAGAAGGAAGAGTTAATATACTTCTGGTTGACTACAGTTGCTTTCAGACCGTGTTGGACCTAGGTTCATTCATGTTGGAGTGGACCTTGGGAAAGGTAGGGCTGATTAGAATAAGTACTAAGGTTTTGGAGTAGGTAGATTGTAAACTTCAGAGCAGGGACCATACTTTTTGTAGTTTAAAAAATTTCTGACAGTATTGAGTGCAAAAGTGCTCTCAAATACTTGGTTGGTAAAATAGATTTTTTTTAAAAAAAAAAGCAGCTTCATGATAGCTACTTGTGCTTCAAAAAGTAATGGAGAAAGTTACTCATGAATAAATAATTTATTCTGGTACCATTTGAGATGCTACATGACCTAGTAGATGGGGCAGTAGACTTGGAAAAGAAGATCTTGGTTCAAATCCCACCTCTGATGCTCCTTATATGTGACCATCCTCAAATCACTTAACATCTATGAGCCTCAGCTCCCTCATCTATGAAATGGGGCTAATAATACCTATAATACCTATCTCACAAGATTGCTGTGAGGATCAAATATATGTGAAATATTTTGTAAATTTAGAGTATGATATAAATAAATGCCATTTATTATTACAGCATTTAGTCATTTATTTTCAGACCCCAGGAGGTTCAGTTTCAAATTTAATCAAGTCAGAGAGAAAAATGTGGGATAACCATATGGATGAGTTTTAGAGAGTTAGAGATAAGGCTCTGTCTTGGACTCCCTTCTCTTTTCTCTCGGTGCTCTTACTTGAGGTCCTCCAGATCCGTATTTTTGGTTGTTGTTGAGTTGTTTCATTTGTGTCTGCCTCCTTGTGAGCCCATTTGGAGTTTTCTTGGCAAGGGTAGTGGAGTGGTTTGCCATTTCCTTCTCTCACCCATTTTACAGATGAGGAACTGAGACAAACAAGGTTAATTGACTTGCCCAGGGTCACACACTAGTAAGTGTCTGAGGCCGGATTTGAACTTAGACGGATGAGACTTCCTGATTCTAAGCCCAGTGCTTTACCCACTGCACCACCTACCTGCCCAAGATCTATGTAAATACCTCTATTTTTTCCCCTTGAATGTTAGTCCTACATTGCAAATAGCTTAATATAATTCTTCAAAAACAAAGTATTTACTTTTGTTAAAGTTTATACTTTATTTTTAATTTGTATTGATACATTTTATTTTAACACATCAACCATTAAACAACTGTCACTTCTCCCATTATACTTTCCCATAAAAAATAAATTAAGTAAAATAAAGATTGTGACTTACAATACATGTTCTTTATAGTTTATAGTTTGGTAACAGAAAGGAAAGATTTCATAGTATCCTATCATAGGATTATAAGGTGGCTGGATCTTAGAGACCATGTAGTCTAATTCCCCTTCATTTTTTGAAATACGAAAATACAGATTCAGGTTAAAAGTGACTTGCACAAAGACATACAGCTAATAAGTGTCAGAAGCAGCATTTGAACCAGAGTTTCCTGGCTTCAAGCTTGTCACTTTATCTACTGTTATGCTGTCTTTCAAGACTTCAGGCTTTAATGATTTGAAATCAACATTTTATATTTCCTGAGCTGTCTTTCCCATTAGGAATATTTGTTTATTTGTAGGTTGTAAAGCAATCCAAGTATATAGAATTCCTTCTTTTAAAGATTTTGGAAGGCTCATCTTTATTTATAAGTAGTGTAGATGAGTTAAGTATAAATTGTTTTTGCCTTTCTTTGTGTCTTCTTTGCTGAGCATAGTGTCTGGCGCAGAGTAAGCACTTAATAAATGGTTGTTCACTTGATTCAGCATGTAACATGTATAAATGTATTTGTTACGTAGTTGATAAGTAAATTAGAGCAAATAGAACATAAGGATACCACATTTTGTGCATAAATTGCTTTGTGTTTGAATTTTTTTTTATCAGATTTATACCAGAACTGAGGGCTAAGTTACTACAAGAAGCAAAAGTCAATTCATTCATAAAGCCCAAAGAGAATTCTAAAGAAACTGAATACACTAAAGAAGACAAAAAAACAACCCATGGAAATACATTGCCAAGTAGTTCAACTATAGGAAAGGTGAGGATTTGGATGTTTGTTTTCCTGAAAAATACCGCTTTGTATATGGAAAACTATAATATAGAGAAAACACTTGTTTGGACTCTATTGACTAAGTTATTTTGTATATTCAGAACGTGGTTATATCTATTCTAGGATGGGGACAAGGACAAAAAGGCCAAGGAGATAAAAGTCAGAGTTTATAAAGTAAAAGGAGGGAAAGGAGAAGTTTCTGAAAGTAAAAAGATAGAGCATGAAGGTGGACATTGCCAATGGGGCACTTCGGAAATTTTTCACACTCTTTCTCAAGATAATAAATCTGCAACACCCGAATCACCTATCCCTGCAGATCTCAACACTGATTCTAACAACATGAAGGAAGATGCCCATGCTGGCGGGTGTATGACCATGCCACCCATCAATTCAAATAGCAGTAATCTGACTGCTGCAAATCCTAACTCACATTTCACTTACACAAATACAAGGTGGGTAGTAACTGTGGAAATAGTAGGGTATTAGTAAATGGTAAAAGTGATTTAGCCTTTTGTTTACCAGGCATATTGCAAAGAATGAATACTTTATAGCTTAGATGGCTTTCAAAGGTTGCTGCAGGTGAAAAAAATTCATTATCTTGTCACCAAACCAGTGAAGAGCCCTCCATTTAGCTAGATTTGTCTTCTGGCAGTTAAACATCAGGCCAGTTCTTGAAACCTTTCTGGTTTGGTAGGACGTGTTAGAATTTGCACTCTACTGGTATGAACTTTGAGACCTTGGTGATACCTTTATACATGATGAATCATCAGAGGAGAATTATATTGGAGAAAAGAATAAATGGTGTATATGACATGCTTTTAAAGATGAAATGCATAAATTTTAGAAATACCAGGTCCTGGTAAAACAAGGTATTCTTTATTTATAATCATGTATGGCCCTACTAGTCAAAGGAAAGCTGGAAATATTCTTGAATGGTCAAATAGTTTAGGAAAAGAATTATATTTTGGGTCAATTTTGTGTTTATCATTTGTTTTGCTGGTTCTTGGGCAGCTATAGAATCAAGTAAGCCTGAAGAGACCTAAGGAGGTCAGTGGATTGAAGATCAGAATAGCCGGATCAGTTAGATTAAGAACAGGTGCACAAGTTCTTTAAGTCCAAGAGGAGAAGCAGAATCAAAGGTAACCAGGATATTGAGAATCAAGAGAAGCAATAATAGTATAATTGGACAGGCTAAGTCCCAGTATCCAGGAAATGAACACAAGAAGGGAGAAGTCGTGAAGACTCAAGTTTGCAGGCTGGGTCTGAGTCAGAGGAGTATCAAGAACACAGGCTAAGAGTCTGGGGACAGAAGAACAGTCTTCTGGCACAGAAGAACTTAGTAACAAGGAATAAAAGCCAGGATAGGATAGGCTGAGCGAGACACCAGGAACCCAGGCACAAAGGTCATGGACCTCCATAGACAGGAGGAGATGAACAGCTCTAGCAGCCTAGTGGTGACCAGATGTTGTTGGTCTTCTGCTTTGGCTTTATGCTCTGCTTAGTGTGAGTGCTGGTGTGGAAGGAGGGCTCTATACGTGCTGGTTATCCTGGATTGCAGAAGAAGCAAAGGTTTCAGCCTCCCCAGAGAGTTTTAACAATTTTTATATTCGTTTCTCAGTAATAAGCCATCTGAAAAAGCTAAAAAGAGAAGGACTTCCTCACAGTCTCGTATACAATCTGTGTCTAACAAGCAAGAGGATGCAGGCCCTGTTCAAGTAAGTTCAAGGAGCTGATCATATAAATCTGGCCTTTTTCTACATTTATACTTCATTTCCATTGTTTGTTGCATTTGAGGCCCTACTCCAATTTATGAAATCCACTTTTGATTTTAAATTAAATTTTCTCCCTGAGATTTAAGTCCTCAACAGAGTCAACGTTTCTTGTCAGACTTAACTATTTAATGTTTGGCTTCAGGAAAGTCTTTACATCTCTAAAGATCATTAAACCTGATCCTCCTCTTCCTCCTTCTCCTCCTCCTCCTTTTTTTTTTTTGTGAACCAAGTGACTTGTAAATATATAGCACTTTCAGATCAGCTCTTTTTTGTTTTACATCACTAAAAGTATTACTAACAGGATTTCATATAATAGTTAATTACAAAAAAATTTTAATTAGAAAAAAATAACAAAATGCACAATCTCATTTTATAACACATAGGAAAATCTGCCTATTCAAAACTGAAGATTTGTACAATGATGAAATGTGAACAATAGAACTTAAAAATAGAAGTTTGTGACTTCTGAATAGTCATACATACATAATTTTTCATGCTTATTATGGTTCTTTCACATTAAAAAATATTCTTTTTTCATAATGCTTAGTATACTGAAACCTTAGTTTCTAAAATATTTATTGGAGTTAGAACTGCTTTACATTTCCCTGTATCCTTTTAAACTTTTTCTCTTATCCTTTTCCCCTTTATCCATTCCTGACTGCATCTTCTTCACACATAGTCATAAAAAATGATAATAAATAATAAAGGTCCTCTTTGGACTAATTTGAGAACAAAGAACCAACTGTTTTAGATGATTTTCATGCGGTCTCATATGGAGACAGAAGACTAACTTGGGGTCTCTTCTATTCTTGTCATTCTATGAATAGTTAGTTACACACATATTTTTGTCATTGTTGTTGTTTAGAATCAAACAGAAAAGGGCACACTTCATGAGCGAACAGCTCAAAATGACCAAATAGCAAATGGGAACAAAAGGAAACTGAATCTTTTAAGGAATGACAAGAAAGAGATACATTTCCCAGAGCTACCTTTCACAATACAATCAAAGGAGATGAAAGGAATGGAAGGTATAAATTTGTTGCTTAGGTTTGTACAGATTCAAATGGCATTATTTATAAGACTTTTTTTTTAAAGTAAAACCTTAATTTTGATGTGTTGTTTATGGGAAAAAATTATAAATTGCCAAGAGATTCAAACTGACATGAGTTTTTAATTGGTAGGATTTTGTTGTGTTTAAATGTGATTTAGTATATTTTCTCATTGAGCATATATTTAAAAGGGAGTTAGGAAAAGCTTTAAAAGATGGAATTCTTATTAAATCATTGCTTTTACTGCTGAGTATGGCACCGTAATTCACTGAGTTATTAAAATATTGGTCTAGGTCTAGGTTCTCACCTAGGTTTTTGTTTATCATATGACTTGGAACAAATGACCCTATTCAGATTCCCTCACATAGTAAATGGAATACAATATTTACTTTATACCTTCAAGAAGTGCTCTGAGAATTAATGACTTAAGGTCTCTAACAAACATTGAACTTCTGAATGAAATGTGCTGCCTTACATATAGTATTTATTTTATTTAGTTAAAAAACAGTGACATCTGGTGAAAAGTTACTGTAACAGCAGTAATGTTATGCTTGGATAGTACATAAGGAAACACATTCCTGAGCTGCTTATTTAAGAATTTGGCTCAGAACTTAAAAAGGAATATCTTATATTTGGTAGCATATTGGCTTTCTAGAAAAATAATTTATCTTTGGCATATTTATCATTAGGACTTACAATTAGGTTTTAATATCTTGGTAGTAAACCAAGAAACTGAAAGTAAAGGACATTTACATGCATTAGAATCTGCTAGCAAAGCCCATGAGAAGGAAAAAAAAACATTCAGACTAAGAATTTGAAATAGTAATGATTCTGTCTCTTTATAAAAGTTAAACAGGTAAAGGTGCTGAAGAGGGAACCAAAGAAAACTGATACATCTAAAATACCAACTTTACTTAATGTGGATCAAAATCAGGAAAAACCAGAGGTAAAGCTATTCTGTACATAGTTATTAGTAAGAAATTCTTGTTGAGCATCTTAATTCAGTGTATACATTTGGTCAGTCGAGCTAGAATGCTCAATTGTATATTTGAGTATTTTCAGTCTTGACTCAATGTCAGTTCAATCAGCCCAGCTAGAAAGTTGGATAAAAATGTCAAATCCTAAATTCTTTTAAAGCTGGAAACTGATCATCATCATCGTCTTGGCTTAATAATTCCTCCACTAAAACTTTACTCTGATGCCCCATTGTGATGTGGAGGTAACCCTGGGTTCTCAAAGGTTCTGCCAATGAAGCACAAACTCCGGTAGGTCGTGGAGTGCAAGGAAGACTTTGAGTATGGGTTGGTGACAGATTATATGTCATTGTCTGAAGATCAATCTAGCTAAGTGTCAGAGTGGCTCTTTACTAGAATGTTGGCTACCAAGTGATGAATTTGGGAAACTACAATAGCTCATAGAGACCATTTGATAAGGCATGGGAAGAATTGGTGGAAAAAGTACTCACACTGATAAAGTAGCATATCCTTTAAGTATTGAAGGATAATAAGTTATTGACACAGTTCCTACTGTTACGTAGTAATTTCCAGCCACAATTAAAACCAAAATGATTAGATTTATATGGATTTTGTGATATCCAGGGAAAATAGCATATTAAAAGTTGCAAACACACACATAGTCAGATAAGTGACATTAGGGGAAATGTGGAACAGTGTAAATTATGATTGGCCTCTCCCTGGGCACATTTGTTAAAGAGACAAAGTTTGTCATTGTAACTCTTTCACCTCCTCCTCCTGTTTATAATCAGACCCTAACCTCTTCCCCACCTTAATGCTTAATAAGTATTACATTCTCACAGAAGAATTTTTTCTTTCCCCATGAAATATTATCCTGCAAAAAGGTATTTGAATTTTATTTGATGATACATGAAGACTGAAAAGCCTTCTAAACCTTAAGGAATGAATCTTTCACGGTGGAAGATAATGGGAGAGATATTTTGAGGGCAGAGGGCTCTAGCTGGTAGCTCTCAAATCACATCAACTTCCTTGTATAGGCAGATGTCTCCATTTCTAATGTACCTACTTAAACAAGCAAAACTTGGACTTTCGGGGCAGCTAGGTGGCACAATGGGGCAGCTAGGTGGCGCAATGTATAGAGCACTGGCTTTGGAGTCAGGAGGACCTGAGTTCAAATGTGACCTCAGACACATAACACTAGCTGTGTGGCTCTGGGCAAGTCACTTAACCTCAATTGCCTCACCAAAAAACCAAAAACGAAACTTGGAGCTCTCCTTATAGAATCTTTTCTCCCTTCAAAGCTCCACAGGCATATCCTTGTATTGTTTGTGGATTTTTGATGAAGAGTGAACACATTTAACACAGTCATCCTACTTTTCCAGAGGCTAGACTGTTCCAGTTAGGTTCCAACTTAACTTCTAATGTAATACTGTTTCTCCAAACCTAATTGATTTTCTAGAATTAGATTGAACATTGTTTGTTATTTATCAAATATGAGAATCTATAGTTATTTGTTTTTTTAATTTAGGATTTTACAGGAAAGTTCCTTAGACTAATCACTTTGTGGAGCATTAGTATAGTGGGAAAAGTATTTCAGCAAATAATTCAGATAAATTAAATATAGTTTCTTTGTCTTTCCCATGGAAAACAGTCACATATGCTTTGTTGAGGGCCAGACCAGTATCCTAACACCTTAGTAGCCAAGAGAGGTCAAGTCCAGGATAAATCTATACATTCTAGTCTATTTAGGGGAAATCTAATTGTTTTATTACAGTTTATGGTTGCTATGTGAACTCATCATCCTATGGAATGCCTCAACTTGTCCAGAGCTATTTTATGAAAGGAGCATATTTCCCATGATTTTTCAAGAAAAGATATCTTCCACATAGCTGTTATTGTTAGGCTCATATGTGAGGTGTTTTCTTCTAAGTTGTGCATCCAAGTTGTGTGTAGCTGGAGGTTGGTCAGAGAAAACCTTAATCAATTGAGTGCTCCCCATCTACTTAATGAGGTTATTGGGCATGGACATTTAGCAGAAAGGGGCACCTTTAGTGGAGATAGACATGCATTATGGCCTTTTGCTGAGGAGTGGGTGCTTTGCTGAGATGACTGAGAAATTCCTGTTTGGTCCTTATGATGATAGGGGTTGCATCAAAGATAATCAGCAGCTTCAAGTGAGGACGATCTGCCTACTCTGTGGTCTATAAGGAGAGCAAAGGGAAATGGTTACACCCACCTCTTTGGGGCTCTTCTTTTGGGGAACTTTTCCAGCACCCTCTCTCTTTTAAACTTCTGGGTAGGAGAGAAGGTATTTCTCTTCCCTCACTCAGGGACATTGGTGGCTTTCTTGTGAAGCATATGCCAATGGCAATTAGCTTAACTTGTTTAGGCAAGCATGAGCCAGGACCTGGGGTTCCTATTGCCTTCTTCAGTCTATTTCCTTCCCTGAAAATAGGTCAGCAGCCAGCAATCTTGAGAAGCAGATCTCTCTGCTGTTTTTGGTGATTTTGTGGATAAAGAGTTCCAGAATTCCAATTTCAAATATCAGCTAGAGTGAGAATGGCTTTTCAAAGGAGCCACGAAGGACCACAAAGATCATTCTGTAGCTTAAGGACTAAAGAAAGCCATGTTCTGGCTAGCCAGGAGATTTGGATTTTGTGAATTGCTCAGATGTTATAGGGAGGCTAATGTGAAATCTTTGTGCAGCCATCCCACAAAGGATCTTTACCTTTGGGTGGTAGTATAATGAGTGTAATAGACCCAAAAGAATTGGGTAAAACCTTTTTGTCTCGCTTTTCTTTTAGACCACAAATGGGTGACTCCTCTTATCTTTATTAGCCAATCATCTCTGGCACAACTTCTCAAGTCACAGGGATCAACCAAGAATCACAGTGTCATCCCAGTAAAGCATATGTCCCTCAGTAAGAGGCCAGAGCATTATGTCCAGGCCTATCAGAGGTATCTCTTTCTGACAGATTCATGCCCTGTAATCTCATCAAGTGGACTAGGGCGATTCAATTCAGCCCCTTTCTATACCCTTCCCCTAGGTAAATATTTGCCACTTTTTCATATTCCCAATTCTGAATAACACTCTGGGGAGACTGGGAGGCTCAGAGGTTGCTTTTTCAATGCCTTCTACTGAAGAGTCTCCGCAGATTTCAAATGGCGCGGTTGTTAAATTCCTCCTAAGTGCCAAGCAAAAATTCCTAGCAATGTCTATTCAGCACAATTCTTACTCCCCAAATTAAGTCTTTTGTGAGAGCCCAGACCTACCATAGCTGGAGGCCTGGAGATTACACTCATTCCCAAATATATAGTTATGCAAACCACATTTTTAAAAGCTCTCATAGGTTACCACCTATCTTACTGCTTAAAGAGTCTATTCCAACCCAGAACAATTGGGAATGAACAAAATTAAATAGTTAACCATAGCAAAAGCAACAAAACAAAAAGGAAAAGGAAAAATATAAACAAGCTGTCTCTTCAGTGGGGAAAAAATCTAGTCCTAAATCCTAAGTCCTAGTTCCAAGAGCCTGTGTAGTTCTTCCATTAGGGATTAGGAGCTTGGGGTTAACTATAAGTCACCCTTATCCTAAGGTGAGAAACCAAACTGTTCTGGGTAAAAATTCTTCCCATGGGGTTCTATAGTATAGAGGGTAACTAATAAATGTCTATAATGGATCTCTGTAATAACTAGGACAATCCAGATGAAGGTCCTGATGAACATTTCTCCAGTGACATTTTACAAATGCAGAGGACACCCAAAAATATCTCCCAACGATCCCAGCAAAAGCATAGGGCATTCCAAATGGAGGTACAAACTTAGTGCATCCTACTAAAAAGAGCCAACCCCAAAAGAAATCAAACTCAGAAAAGTCTCAAAGATATATGTAACTCTACAAAGGGATTAAGCACTTGGGAATTAATTGGAACTAAGCCTCCACAAATTTTGGGTTTTGTTTAAAGTGCTCAAAGAGCTCCAAAAAAGAAGGGCCCCAACGAGGTGAGTAGAGCCATTTTCCTTTGCTTTTCTTAGAGACTACAGAGCAGGTAGCCCTTCCTGATTCACAGATTTCAGTCATTTTTGATGCACCCCACACACACACACAGGGACCAATCAGGAAGTGTCCTGATGGCCAAGAGGCCTCCCTAGGGGAAGGGGCTCTAGGCTCATCTAGACCCAGATTCATACCAGAAGGGCCTGACCCCAAATGGGGCTAAGGTTTCTCTTTCATTCTGGATCTGCCCCCTACCCTAGGATAAAACTCTAAAACAAACTTAAGAATTCCTCATGTCTAAGGTTTCCCCAAAATGTGGCAACATTGTCCCTTTTAGAAAAAGCAGTCTTTATATATGTGTATGTGTGTATGTATGTGTGTATGTATATGTGTGTGTTTGTGGTAAAGAACAGAGTTTATTTCCTCTGCCCCAGCAAATGCTTAAGATACAAAAGACTCACAGGCATATAATAGCAAGTACAGAAAATATACAGCATCTCAAACAGCAAATTACAGTCCCCCAAAAGATAAAGGCCCTTTGTTGACTGGCTGCACAGATATTTCCCATTCGCCTCAGCCCTGAACTGTTTGAACAGTTTAGAAGGTCCAGACTTCCTGGCCAGCCCTAGCATTGACTTGTTTAGTCCTTCAGCCACAGGATGATCTAAGTGATGGCCCTGTTTTCTTCTGGGAAGCTATTCTCTCTCTAGTCAGCTGACACCTGAATCTGGAACCCTGGAGCTCTCAACCCATGAGGTTACCACAAAGATGAGAAGAATCTTTTTCTCAGGATTGCTGGTTGCTAGCCTGTGGTCAGGGAAGGAAACGGGCAGAAAGCATCGACGGACCCCAGGTCCTGGCTCAGGGCACCATGCCAAGCATAAGCTGATCATCCTTATCATATGCTTTTCTTTTTTTTTTTTATTCAGTTTTTTTTTCAGCGCCAAATCTCTCCCATCCACTACCTCTTTCCCTTCCTCCCCATCCGCTCTGCCTTGAGAAAACAAGAAAAACAATCCCCTTTTCTAGCCTTGTTGGAAGTCCTAGGGAGGAAAAGTGCTCAAAGAGGTCCAAAAAAGAAGGGCCCCAAAGAAGTAGACGGAGCCATTTTCCTTTGCTCTTCTTAGAGACCACAGAGCGGGTAGCCCTTCCTGATTCACAGATTTCAGTCATATTTGATGCACCCCCCCCCGGGACCAATCAGGAATGTCTGTGTTATCTCAGCAAAATGCACATCCTTCAGCAAGACCAGAGAGCAGGTCCAACTTTACTGGAAGGGCTCAGTTGATCAGAATTTCCCCTGTTCAGTCCCCTGCCACATGTGGAACAAGAGATGTTGTCGTTAGAAATCATTTTAGTTTTCTCCAGAAAAAGTCAAACTGGTTTTAAACAATGAACAGGTGTTTTTTATTACATAATATTTTGTGTGTGATAAGTTCAATTTTGCACATTTTTTGAATGGTGGATAAATTAAGGGACACAGGGTTGTATGAAATTAAGGTGCAACAAATTTAGTGGTGAGATGCATGTGTTTATAACACTTTGGACCAATAATGTTCCACAGAATTAAACTTCTATACCTTTCAAAAGAAGAGACGGGCATCTAGGTGGCACAGTGGATAGAGTACTACTCCTGAAGTCAGGATGACCTGTGTTCAAATGCAGCCTCAGACACTTACTAACTGTGTAATCCTAGGCAAGTCACTTAACCCTGATTGCCTCAAAAAAAAAAAAAGACAGTTAAAGTTTTCTATAATGAGTCTCAACAGGAATGAGACGGAAGGAGAATCCTTTTTACCTTCCGTGATTTGGAAACCCTGAAAGAATAATTATCTTTTTTTTTTTTAAAGTGACCTTGAAACAAGCTGTAGTTTTACTTCAGAGTCAGAAGTCACTGATGTTAAGTTGTAGTTTATTTGCACTGCACTTTGAAAAGCAGTTCTAAGTGACTGACTGCATTTGTACCAGCAGCAAGGCTATTTCCATTGGCTATTTCCAAAAGCTTTTAATAAATTAATGTTGAAATTAAGAAAATATAAGAAATTTGGAAACTTTTAGATCTGTAGTTTGTCATTTTAGAGAAGGGGGTATGACATGCTTTTTGGACCTTCCTTCCCTCTTCCCCTTCTCCCCCTAAGGAAGAATGATAATTTGTTCTATTCCTGGCTCGAATGTTGTCTTCCTTGGATCACCTAATCTTGTTCTCCATCTATAAAATGGAAATTATAACCTAATATTTGGCCCTAGAGATATGGGTATGTATGGAGGTGCATTAATTCTCTCAGGCTGCTAAATGAGTGCCATGGCCCTAGGACCTGAAAATCTTTATGTGCTTCCTTAGGCACCTAACTATGGAGTGACAGGGGAGAGGAAGTCTAGAACCCGTAGTTATCTTAAATTATGTTTGATAAGGGTAAAGACAACATTTTGTTCATCACTTTTAATTGTCTTGTTCAGTTTAATTCAACACACATTTATTAAGTACCTGCTATCCATACAGCACTGTATTAGGAGATAGGAAGATAAAGATTTAAAAAATTATATAGTCTCTGACCTCAAGGAACATAGAGTCTCTGTGCAATAACCCACAAATGCAAGGTAATTTTTAAAATTTCTCTTTGGCTGTCTTCAACTGGCCAAAGAATCAATATTCTCTGAATTAAGTGCCTGTTTATATTTACTTTTTAGAATACAGGAACTGCACAAACTAAAAGGAAGAAGAACCTGCCGATGTAGAGTAGAAAATGCAGCAGCTGAGATCTCAGGGAATTCCAGTATGGTTTAAAAGAATCCTTTTCTATAAACATTACACACACACAGACGCTGACTAGAGAATTCTACAGATATATCATAGTCCCTGTATCGTGATGTGTATATTCACCTAAATTTGTGTGAAAATTTACTGATCAATAAATTCATATTTTCCTAATTTGAACATTAATTTATTAAAAACTGCTTGACAGGTGCATCTTAATTTTAAAAAAAACCTGCAACTTACATTAAGTTACAGGATTTGATTTGATCATCTATCTTCTCAACTTTGTCTTATTGGTGGTCATGTTTAGCTTTGGTTCAAGCCTTTAGTAGTGAGGAAGAAAAAGTTCCTGAATTCCTGATAAGGTAAGATCATCATTTCTGGAAGCATCAAATACTGCTGAGCAAAACAATAGAATTGACAAGCATGTAATACAGTTTTTGTTTCTGCACATGAAGATACTAGAGCAGCACTTAAACACACTATAGATTTTAAGTGATAGAAATGTAGAACACAAATGAACACAGTTCTGGGGTCTCCTGGCCCCACCAGCATGCTAATCATTTAGTAGAATATAAATAATTTAACAATAATGCATCCAAGGTCTCAACAGCAAATAATTTCCATTCTTACCCCTGGTCCTTACTAGCTTGGTTTTTAATTTTAGGGAGGAGAAGCCCATTGTGAGGGGAAGAATTTGAAGAGGAACAGATTTTTCTCATAGTAGTGCCCTTGTATCCGAATAACCTTAAAAAGAAGGAGTTTGGGAATCTTAATATCAAAATCTATTCTCTTTTTACTTTATGTAGAGTAGAAATGTTATGTGAGCTGTGAAGACAGCCAGCCATCTGAATAATACCAGCCAACTCTTTCTGTTTTCTTAGCAAAATAGTCACTGTTTTCTACTTTCTCCAGAAGAGCTCTCTTGATGTGATGTTTTGAAATGGAATTATAATGTCACCTTCTATTTTCCTGCTTTTTTACTTATTGTGATTACTCGATAGGACACAATTCCTGTTATCCAATACATATAGTATTAATGATGATTTCTACCCTTTGATAATCACACAACCTTAGGAGTTAAATTCTATTTTAGGTTATCAGGCTTATTGAAGTACGTGTAAGCACTTAGTGAATATCTGACCCATTGTTCTAAAAAAAAAAATCCAAAACAACAACATGCATCACCATTATCATGGATTAAAATATATTCTGGTGTTCAATAATGAAAATGAATAAAATATCTGAAATGATATATACAAAATCTTAATGAAATTCCATTATTATCTTAAATACCTCCCAGTAATTCAAAGTGATGAATGATTTTCCCTTTGACTATATATAATTTTCACATTATGCAAAATTCCATCACTACTCCCTATAGTAACTCATATAAAATGTTATTAAAATTCAGAGGATCACCAAAAAAGCAAGACTACATAATTTCCTAAAGCATAATAAAATCATCTCTGATATTTTTTCAGAACTGTAATCTGATTCTTTAAGTAGATAATTGAGATTCAGGATGATTCTCTCAGTATGTAAAAATTTAAAGGTGGAGAGAACTGGGAAGAATCAGTGCTGATTGCACTAGATCACTGAGACACTTTGAAAGCAATGGCATGTATGAAAGTACTTTTCCCTGTTTCTCCTGATCCTGTTTTGTCACTGACTCATAGTCAAGGAGGAAGAGTACCATGTGTTTAATGAGTGGCAAGTAACTTGCCTTTTCAGAGATTTGAGAAAGGCCCAGTTTTAGACCCCCTTGTTTATTGTATACCCTTCTATGGCTGACATTGAGTATCTTCTCTATTTTGTGGTGTAGATCAACCTACATAAAAATGATGCATAACAAATAGTAATTAGTCTCTGGAATTTATTCATTAAGCAGTTCATAAGCAATGTATAAGCTTATAAAAAGAAATTGTCATGTGTTTCCTTGCCTTCTTGAAAATGTAAATGAAAGAATTTTGCATTCACAAAATAGTCTAAAAAAATCATATAGGAAAACAGTTTAATTCAGTGCTGCTTTATGATCTCTTCAACTAAAAGTTTTTGTTAGGATTAATAATAACTTAAATCATGTAAATCATATGCCTACTGTTAGCCTCAGCTGCCAGATAGACATTCTATCCTTGGAAAATTAAGGTTATTCAAAGGAAGTACGCAGTGGTATGAGTCTGCCACCCTAAATGCCCACATCTTTACCATGTGCAAAAACCATAGGATCAGGTATCTTTACTGGTTGTAGTAACTTCACTTCTCAATTATGTATGTGATAATTAAAGATGTGAGGATTCTTTTTCATTTAAAAAATGTTATGTTGCAATTTTAAATCCTAGGTACAAAGATCCTTGGCAATTTTTAAAGATGACTGGCCAGAGTGACTGCCAAAGAACTAAGACTTGCCTAAGTTATTGCCTGATTCAGCCTTTTACTGATTTTCTTCCCTTTTAGTTCAAGATCTAAGTCTAAGAAAAGCTTAGAACCCTGTATGGCCATGATTTCATTCTCTTATTGTATACATAGGATCTTGTCCTGAAATTGCTGTTGATCTAAAAGCCGTAATGTAAATGATGTGTCATTATACTTTGCCAATACATGATAAAACGTGACTTAAAATAGTAAAGACTATACTTGATAGGACTGAATGTAATTTGATTGAAAGGGACTTTTAAAAAGGTAATGGTAAGGTAAACTTATTTGGGTTGACTTTTAATATATTGATTTGCAATTGTAAATATGATAATTGTATTTAAAACTAATAGTTTCCCAAAGAAACTATTGTAGGTTTAGCCCTGGACACTTCATTTTGAACAAACCAAGTGATCGAAGTAATTAGCTACTTGTATCTACAATGAAAAAATGTCCACTGCAGGACAAATTTAAATGTCGCACAAGTGTAATGTGGCACTTATATAGATTAAGTCATCTCAGGTTGCTAAAAGAAGAAATAGTCATGGACACTATTAAGTTGTGTCTACTTAATTCTTTTAGGCCTTGTCCCAACCATGTACCAAGGGTTGGGACTTCAGGAAGTGCAAAACAATACATCAGGTTCCACAGCTTTGAAAGAAAGAGGGGCAGTTAGGTGGCGCAATGGATAGAGCACCGGCCCTGGAGTCAGGAGGGCCTGAGTTCAAAACCGCCTCAAGTCACCTAACCCCAATTGCCTCGCCAAAAAAAGAAAAAGAAAGTTATTACATTAGAAAACCCATGATAATGGGGCAGCTAGATGGTGCAGTGGATAGAGCACCGGCCCTGGAGTCAGGAGGACCTGAGTTCCAATCCAAACTCAGACCAGACTCTTGGTACTGTGACCCTTGGCAAGTCACTTAACCCCATTGCCTAGCAAAAAGAGAGAGAGAGAGAGAGAGAGAGAGAGAGAGAGAGAGAGAGAGAGAGAGAGAGAGAGAGAGAGAGGAAAGAAAACCCACTACAAACATGTCCCATGTATTTATTTCCCAATGACAGTTTTTCAAAGGAACTGATTAGATGAAATGTCTAGCTCTGACAGTTTATGATTCCATTTTGTAATCAACTAGAACAGTCAACATGGATTTATAAAAAGAAATATACCAGACTGAGTTAATTTACTTTTATAATATAGAGATGGGGAGAGGAGAAGTAATGCGTGTGGTTTGTAAGAACTTCAAATAATCAAGAATTATTACCATCTACTCCAGGCCTGGAGCAGCTAGGTGACACAATGGCTGGAGTGCCAGGCCTGGAGTCAGGAAGACATGAGTTCAGATCCTCCCTCAGACACTAGCTGTGTGACCCTGGGCAAGTCACTTAACCTCTGTTTGCCTCACTTTCTTCATCTGTAAAATGAGCTAGAGAAGGAAATGGCACACTACTCCAGTATCTTTGCCAAGAAAACCCCAGACGGGGTCGTGAAGAGCTGGATGTGACTTAAATGACTGAATGGAAATATAGGCCTCACCCTACACTCAGTGTTGAGGCATATAAAAGGAGTACAAAGATAGTACTAACTCACAAGAATGTTTCCTTCCTCTATAGTATCAGTGAGCTAAGATGATGTGGTCTCTGCTATTTTTAAATGTTTATTCACATGATTCATAGGATGAGTATTAGTTATCCATTAGGGAACCAAGTGGTAGAACAAGTTTAGTAGTCATTTGTATACAAAAATGACTATAATGTAAAATAATACATGATAAATAGGAGAGATGCTAACAAATACTAATGAGGTCCAAGGAGCACAATGTTATTACTTGTAGATTATTGGAGGAGGAGGAAGGAGAAGAATCAGAAATGAATTCCTGGAACTGGTAAGATTTGAACTGTGATTTAAAAGAATAATATAGGAAGGGAAGAAAGCATTCTCAGATATAAAAATGGAGACTACATGGTAGGGTGGCACCAGATTGTGGAGGATCTTTAACGCCTGACGGAGGAGTTAAACCTCAGCAGGCAATTGACACTAGGAATCCCCTGAAGAATTAATAGCAGAGCACTGACAACTGTAAGAATCTAACAACAGTACACAAGGTAGACTGAAATAGAGAATGAATAGAAGTGGGGAGACCTGTTATATTAGTCCAAGTAATAAGAGCCTGTAGTGGTAGTAACAGAGGAGTGAATAGATACAAGAGGCATTATGGAGATACTATCACACTCCACAGGACTTGACAGTTGATTACATACGAAAACTTGGGCAAAAAAGAAGAGCCAAGGTCTCAGACATAAGAGACTGTGAATGCTAGTGCCATAGACAGAAATGATAAAAGTCAAAAATACAAGGTTAGAGGGAAAGATGGCAGACTTGGTTTGGGACATGTTTATTTGATGTATAGGTGGAACATACCTGTGAGCAGGTAGAAATGTGAATCTGGAGCTCCCAAGATAGGTCAAGGTTGGAGATGCAGATTCAGAAGTTCTTCATGTTAAGGACATGGAAGTAAGTGAGATTGTAAGGGAGAAAAGGAAAAGAGAACCAATTGGGGCAGCTAGGTGGCACAGTGGATGGTGCTCCAGCCTTGGAGTCAGGAAGACCCAAGTTCAAATTCTGCCTCAGACACTTGACACTTACTAGCTGTGTGACCCTGGGCAAGTCAGTTAACCCCAATTGTCTGACCAAAAAGAAAAAAAAAAAGAGAATCCATTATAGGACCTTGGTGAACATGTGCCTTAGGTAGTTTTTTAAAGAGGAGAGAAAGGAAAGAGATGTTTAGAGAGGTAGTAGAACTAGAAAAGCATGATGCCTCTGAAACCAAGGCAGGAAAGAATATCTAGAAGGAAGAAATCAACACTAGCAAATGCAACAAAAAGATCAAGGAAAGTTGAAGCCTATAAAAAGACCACTGAATTTAGTAAGAGGTCATGGAAGAGGCAAAAAATCAATTTGTTCATTAACTGTGACACTGTAAATTGAGAAGCAACAAAACTTCTGGTTGGATATAAGTCATTGTTAGTACTATGCTATTGAATTGAAAAGACTCAGTAATAACTGACATTTATATAGTACTTTAAGGCTTTAAAAGTGTCTTACATTACCTTACCTAGAAAGAAGAAGCATTGATTACGAAGAGCCATCATAGCTTCATCAAGAATAGATCATGCCAGACTAACCTCATTTCCCTTTTTGTCAGTTAACAAGCATTTGTTTGTTAAGCACCTAATCTGTACCAGGCACTGTGCTAAATGCTGGAGATACAAAGAAAGGCAAAAGACAAGGAACTCACTGTCTAATGGGGCAGACAACATGTAAACAATTATGTATGTACAAAATGTGGAGAGAGTATAAATGGAGGGGGCGATCTCAGAGGAAAGGTACTAGCAGTGGGTGGGAGAGGGAGAGGTATCAGGAAAGGCTTCTCAGAGAACGTGGGATGCAAGATGAATTTTGAAGAAAGAGTCAGGGAAGCCAGAAGGCAGAGGTGAGGAGGAAGAGCATTCCAGGCATGAGTGACAGTCAATGAAAAGGCAAGGAGCAGGAAGATGGAGTGTCATATACAAGTAACAGCAAGAAGGCCAGTGCTGCTGCTGTGTAGGAGCCAGAGTTGTTTGAGTGTTTTGGGGAATTATCAGTTGTGTCAAAAAGTGGGAATAATTTTTTTTTTAGGTTGGTCAAAGTTCAGCTGTAAAAAAATTAAAAAAGATTATTGTTAACTTTTGAGAGAGCAGTATATTAGTAAATTATTTATTGAAGCCAGATTGCAAACAAGGAGTGGACAATGAGGAAGTGGAAGCATGGAAATAAGCAGTGATTTTCAATGACATTTTAAAATTAGTATATAAACTCCTTAAGGGCAAGGGCTGCTTTCCTTTTGTCTTTATTCTCTCAAAGCCTAGCACAGTGGTTTGCACATAGTAAGGACTTAATAGATTTTTGTTGAATCGATATCTAATGGATAGAGTTGCTCATTAAGTTTACAGATAAAACTATAAGCAGATGGAAATTAGAAATTTAATTCAACCTTAAATAAGTTTTATAAATGGTTTCTCAAAAGTGGGAAAGGAAAAATCAATGAAGGATTAGGGAATGATAAATAAATGGTTCAAAAGAGATTAAAAAAGGATATACTGTAATGAAAAAAATTTTGGGTTACTGGGCATAGCTTCTCATATTCTGGATCTCTCCCTTTCTTCACTTACTACACCATTTTGTACCAGGAAGTAGGCAATGATATGAAACACTAAATTAATATAAATGAAGTATTTCTATATATGTATGTATTTAGATAAATATGTATTTAGAAGAAAAGTATGTAGCTATCATAATGCCCTCTTATCAGTATTCATTTTTCAAACATACTATTAAATTAGATGGAATTAGGTGGCTTTGCTTTCAGAGGTCATAGATTCCCCCTCTTTGGAGTTTGTTAAGCAGAGATTGGACAGCTGGTGGTTGGATACATTATAGTTGGAATTCCATGTATGGGTTGGACTAGATAGCTCCTGAGGTCCCTTCTAACTCTCAAATCCATGATTCTGTGAATAAAATAACTTAATGGGTTTGGATTATCTCCATTTATGATTTTGAGATATATAACTCTATAGAATTTAATGAAGTTTCTGTTAATTAATTCTGTTAGTTCTTCTGTTAAGAGAATCATAAAAATCTTAGAATTGGCAGAGACTTCAGAAGTCATCCAGTCCTGCCAGATGAATCAAGTTGGATCTGGTAAAACATGCCAACAAGTAGTCATCTAGCTCAAGGACCTCCAATGAAGGGAACTCACAAAGTAATCATTAAAGAACAAGAATTTATCAGCTGTTTTGCTTTTGGCAAAGAGAGAACCCCAGAAGATATCCAGATATATAGTATACTATAAATCTGTCATCCATTTCCCAAAATCCTCACCTAATT